CCTGAACCCACTAAGTTATAGACTCCTCCAAACCCTAAACCCGAAGCCCGAACTCCCCCCGAGACCCGAAACCAGGATCCTGGATCGCATCCCGGAATGACACCGGCGGTATAGAATTAAAGATCCCGACTTTTTTTCAAGTCTCCGGCGAACCCTGCGCCCTAGATCCTCATGGCCCACGTTAACCCCTAGAAACCTGGCTGTTTACAGACGTCTACCAAGGGAGCTGGAAACCAAGAATCCGAAAAGGGGTAGAATTTAGGGGGTCCGGGTAGCAACCGTCCGGTCAGACAACAGTGTTGAGAGCAGCAGTACTAGCAGTACCTGTCGCTTGTGTCGCCCTGGTTGCCCGGCAAATCCGAAATCTCAGCCAAAATTGACCGGAGACGGTGGAAATGGGTCAGGCGCCGTCTCCAAACCAAAGGAGCAGTAATCAGAAACAAGAGTCTTAAATCCTCAACCCTAAACCCTGAACCTTAACCGTATCCTTGCAGGAACCAGAAGGCCAACCAGCTGAAGAGTAAGAAGATTGACCTTGCCGATGCTGGGAAGGCCGGAAACCCGATGCTCATAGTGACCCTTAGGGGGGTAGGGGGCGGGGGGGCAGGGGGCTTTAATGCCAACAAAAAAAACCTAGTAAGGCCTATTTAAGGAAGTATAGCCCCCTACCCCCGTAAGGGTCTCCATGAGAAGCTTCACGAGCCCTGAGCGCGAGCCTCCACATGCTGACCTGTCATCCCCTGCCAGCGCTGGCCCTTCCTTTGTGTAGGGCTTTGTCTGTATGAGGATATGCATCCATGCATGCAACATGTTGTTTATATATATATATATATATGTATATGTAGATGTAGATGTGAATGTAGGTAGTACCCGTCTGAAACGGAAAGTGTTCATGCCAAGGCTTATTACCGTAGCTATACATGAACGGGCTTTTTTTGCTAATGATGTGTTGTTGCATCTGTTGTCTGAGACTCCCTAAGCGCAAGTCTCTGCATCATACCTGCACTTGTCCTTTTCAGCAGCTGCTACTGTGGAGGGGCCTATTGATTTTGCTCGGCAGGCACTGGCCGCAGCCAATAAGCCACCAAATTGCAGTTTTAGAATGGAGGGGTATAGAGTTACGTTGACATGTTCTGGCTTACACTTTCGGATGAGATGATGCGGTTTCTTGTGTTTGGAGTTTAGGTGTGTATGTGTGCCTGTGGTTTCGACAGTTTGAGATTAGATTTGTTCGCAGTATTACATCTGTTTGGATTTGAGAAGGCCGGAGCGTAAGGGATCTCTACACTTAGAGAGGGGTCTTAGCAGTCATTCGCGCCAGCTTGATGCACATAGTAGCGGTCCCTCAAACCCTAACACCTGAACCCTAAATCCTCAAGCCCCAGAACCCGCTGCACCAGCTTGTTAATATAGGGGCCTTAATAATTACATATCTGCTTTTTGTTGAGGGGGGTCCTTGTCATAGTTATGGTATAACGGGCCCCCAAACCCTGTGGCACCATTTTCACAGTACCCTTGTAGTGGCCTTAATGGAGCCCTTTACAAGGAACACTGTTCTAATTATGAAGGCCCCTGCATTAGACTATATTAGACCCTTCCAAAGCCTTCCAGGCAGGAAGTTTCGGCTGCAACGGAGGTTAAGGAATTATGAAAGAGGCCCCTGATGTAAGGATTTATACTGTATTAGATTCTCTTATATTCTACGTTAATATATGGAAACATCAAAAGCGGCCCGTGATTCCCCTGATGTAAGAGACAGACAAGAGTCGATCATGGGTCGAAAACTGCGAAATGACAGGAGCCATGTTGGGCACCGGGCTTGTGTTGCGGTTGTCAGCGTTCCCGGTGTCGGGTACCGCAGAACCGAAACACCCCGGCTTCTATACGAGCTTAAAATAGGGGCCTTGATAATTTGAATAGGATTTGGGTCGTAGATTATACTATGATTATCATAAGGAGCCCCCAAAACCCTATTCTAATTAGGTATATTATACTATGATTATGATAATGGTGTATTACAGTATACTATGATTATAATACTGTTCTAGTTATGAAGACCCCTGCATTCATCGACCCAGAGCCTTCTAAGGTACCTGGAAGAGCTCAAGCCGGAATGTCTTAAGCCGGCCATGACGAAGGACCGGAAGCAAGGGTTTTGGGGTGAGGCTTTAGGGCTTGTATAGGTGTGATTCGGGCTTGGTAGAGATTGCATGTAGAAATATACCAAGGAATGTAGCCACTTCTCAAAGGCCGAAACCAGACCGTTCTTGAGGGCAAGCGGAGCTCGGTGTACAGTTGGATGGAGGGCATGTATAGGTTCGGAGCATGTGAGAGAGGACACGTTGATGTGAGCACGTTTTGGAATAGTTGCACAGCTGTACCCTAAGGCCCCATAGTAGTTCCTTTTTGGGTTCATATATAGAATCCTATAAGGTACCCCCAAGAAGGAACTACTTTGGGGCCTATGGGTAGCTTGCGCTCAACAAATGTGGGCCTACCAGCCCCGCCTTCACCCACAGTCAGATTTATCTTGGTACTGCTGATGGACAAAATCCTGCATGACCCTAAGGACTCTAAACTATGGGAATTATGGTATTATATTCCTTATAATGGGTAATTCAGGATTTTGTCCATCAGCAGTATTGATTATGCCTTGTGTACTTTGTGGTGTGTTCCTACTCCCTTGGTTTTGGTTGCTTTCGACAAACTGTGAGGGCGCTGAACAGCTGAGGAGTAGTATGTCATTACCGTATTTGGGTTTATTGTTAGCTTTATGACTACTGGCCCTTATCTGGCATATCCTCCTCCTCAGGTGATGGTAGTAACGGTAGCAAGTGGCAAGCAGACCTCATTAAGCCGTGCCTGGGTCGAACGAGTGTGCGTGACGAAACCCTTTCTTGACCCTGCACCTTACTCCCTGTAGGGCCTGGTCGAGGGCTCTGGGAACTTGAAGCAAAGGTTGTGGGCAAAAGGGCCCTACACTCCACACAATCTCCACCCTTGATAAATGAACCCCACTCCGCAAGGATGTGATAGGGATCCTAATACCAAGGACTGGGGTTTTCGGGCTGTAGGTTTCCAAGAGCCCCAAAGTTTCATGCCCCGTGACCAGAACTTTTCCTGAAGATTCTAGGGTTCAGGGTTTCAGGGCTGCAGGGTTCTCCGGATAGGGTTTAGGGTTTAGGGTTTAGGGCGGATGATAGACCTCCACGGGATTTCAGGGCTACCAGGGTTCTCGGTTTGGCGCGTCTTGGAACCCTACTCCCCCAAACCCTAAACCTGTCTTCAGAAGATCCGCCAGGCTGTTCAGTGGTACACTTTTTTACTTTCAGGTTTCTGGGTTCCTATTAACAAACAAGAAGCCCGAAAATACATACTTTTTCCCAGTGGGTTACTGAACAGCCTAGTCCGTCAGGAGGAGAAGATGGAGCAGAGGAAGCAGGAGATCGAATCTCTGAAGGCGCTTGGAATGCTTGGGTTTCACAGGGTTGTGGAACCTGAAGTTTCAGGTCTTGTACTGCGAAGCATGAATCGTTACATGTTGACAAGGGTTGCGCAGGTTTCTAGGAACCTTCATGAGACTGAAGTTAGCATAAAGGAATAATGTAGTACATCTGGAAGAAAAGGAAAGCTCTGCAGCAGTGAATCAAGCAGATGCGCCATGGAGCAGGATCCTTAGCCTTGCCACCAGAAGCACAATGAGTTCTTGATGCCGATTGTTGACTCGTCTCCGCGAAAGTGCGGAATCAGTTTCGTCCAGGTTTGGGGTTTGTCTTTCTTTCAGAGATCAAACATTGGAGTTAGGGAAGGTTTGAGGTGTAGGGTTCAGGGTTCAGCTCCGTTGACAGGTTATACTGATAGCGCATTCAGTCAGGGAACCAGTGGACTGGTCTGCAGCTTTGGGATCCGAGTGTGAGCACTGAAGCCTTGCTGTGCCAAAACTTCGTTGCACCAAGCTCGTCCGAGTTGCGAGAGCGTAAAACTCCAAACCTGTAAACTCCAAACCCTCCAAATCTAAAGCCCTTACAGGAACTCTGTGTAGAAACCCGTTTAGAAACCCCTCTGTGCGGGAACCCTTTTACGCCCTCGCGATAAGGCCTGGGGCCCGGGATGCCCAGACGACAGTCTCTTCACTTTCCAACCCTGAGTTTTAGGGCTTACCTTCTCTTGGATGGCCGATTTTGCGGCCTAGAATCCGGATCCTAGAACAAGACAACGAGGGTAAGCAAATAAGGGTACTACATTTCAGGGTCTAGGTGCAGCTGAAGCCCCCCAAGCCGAACCCCCCCCCCTCTCCAGACTCCTGACCCTTAACCCAACACAAACAAGCAGAAGCCCGTAAGGGACCCTAGACATCCGGTAACCCCCAAGCCCTAAGCTGAAGCCTTGCTTATATTCAAAGGGGAAAAGGAGGGACCCTTAATGCGGACCCCTACCCTATAATGGGCTATATGATGGGTACATAATCGCTATATTAAGGGTATATACCTAGGGGTCCTTATCAAGGGTCCCTCCTTTTACCCTTGGATACATAGGTAAGAAGCAAGCACGAATGAAGCGACCCCTGGTGCAGGAAGTCCTTGAGATTCTGCAGGGCTGAACCCGTCGCTTCTGAGATGCGACTCGAGCTGTGCGAGGACAGAAAAAGTGCCTCCACAGTTGCCAAAAGCGGTTTAGGGTGTTGGGGTTGTTCGTGCATATACGGGAGCTTGAAAAATCAGTGACACTCTCTTCTTGGAGTCCCTAAACTAACAGAGGCTTTCAGGTTCGCACAGGGGGAAGAAACCTAAAAGGGTGAAAGGCCCGTGAAACTGTCGGCTTCAGGGTGACTTAAAGGGAACTCCAGAAAGTTGGAATATGGATTACTGGTAGGATCCCGTATAATTTACCTCAAAGGGGTTACGATAATGATATTCCAACTTTCTGGCTTCTACTGTAAATAAACCCTGATGATTTTCAGGAACCTACCAGAGACCCATGCTGAGCGCTGTTCAGCCCAGGTGGGTGGCTCTGGACACTGCCAGCTCTGAAACGGGAGGTATGGAGAGCCATGGAGAACTACAGCATGTTACTGCCATTGTCGTTGCAGTAGTAGTAAGTGTCGTAATAGGCGTAGTAGTCACACTAGTCGTGGTCGTAGTCGTAGTCGTACGTCGTAGCAGCAGCAGCAGCAGCAGCAGCAGCCGTTGCCGTTGCCGTTGCCGTTGCCGTAGCAGCAGCAGTAACACTAGCAGAGCCGTAGCAGCAGGAGCAGAGTAGCAGCAGCAGCAGGAGTAGTAGGAGGAGGAGGAGGGAAGGATGCAGGCAGGTAGGTAGCTAGGTGGCAGTTGCTGTTCATAGTTAGTGCTTCGCAAGCAGGTGTAACCTTCGTGTTCGGGGGCCTGTCGGAGACAACCTTTAACTTGGATCAGGAAGACGGGCATCTCTCCCTACCTGGAGCCAGTGCTCGGGTCCAAACCCCTAGACCCTGAAACCCCCCTAAACCCCAAACCCCTAACTCTCTTAAACCCCGAAACCCCGAAACCCCTAAACCCTTGAACCCTAAACCTTTAAATTACACCCCCAAGCCCTGAAACCTTACAACTCCTTGAACCTAAACCCCTAAAGCCCCTAACCCCTAAACTCTAAACCCGCAAACCCAAAACCCTGAAACCCTAAGCCAGCTTTTTTGAAGGCTCTTCCCCCCAAAAAAGCAACCTCAGGGCTCCAGTTACCTAAATAGTAGGTTACTCACCATATATGTACCCCAGTAACTTACTATTTAGGTCACTGGAGCTTTGGGGAAACCCTATGCCCTGGTTTCTCTTAGGATGGTTCCCGGGCGCCACCGCGAGCTCCTGGGAGCAGCCGCGACGCAGCGGCCATTGGCGATAAGGGACCGGACTTCCGAGAGGGTTAAGAGGATTGGAATTTGGGGTTTTTTAGGGTTTAGGGGTTTGGGTTCCGGGTAAAGGGGGTGAAGACTTTAGGGTTTAGGGGTTAGGGTTTAGGGGTTAGGGTTTAGGTTTTAGGTGTTTGGGTTGAGTGTTTAGGGTGTATAATTAAGATGTAGGTAGGGGTTTAGGGTTGAGGGTTTCGGGGTTTAGTTTTTTTGCCCCTCCCCGGCAAGACTTCAAGAGGCCTGGATGCAAAAAAAGTTTGTTGGGGTTTTAGGAGTTTGTGCTACTTCCACAGGTGTTGTGGCAAGAGCCTTCACCTTGTTTAGGAGGGACTTCCGACATCCAGGCGGGCATATACAAGTCTGTGCAAAAGGGGGGGCTTAACTGAGGCAAAGCAGGCATACGTTGAGGGTTCCCTTAAACGTTTCGCTCGGGGCCTTAATCATCGCTCTCCAGAGGGGTTCCTGGGAGAATGGTTGAAAGGGGCCCCACAGTCGTCATGATGAGGTAGTCAGGTTTGGGTTTCGGGGTATGATATACTTCTCATTAGAGGTAAATCGGTAGGGTCTTCGATACGGGGTGTTTGGTGAGTGTAGCTTGCGGTTTGGCTTCAGTGTGTCGGGCTTCAAGGTTTGTGGGATTAAAGTTTCTACTTGCCTTTTCGCGATGTGTAGTTAGATTATGTTAGATCGCTAGTGACTTCATCGGGGCAGACTTTGTACTGTGGGCGTTCAGGTATGCCTTAGAGGTTCTCCGGTCAATCAGCAAGCCGGACGGCGAACAGAGGGAAGCCCAATGCCCGTTTCAACATTCCTGGTCCTTGCCCTACGAATTTCGTCATCTGGTTCTAGTTCCCTCTTTGGTCGACCATTTGTATGTGACAGCCAAAACAACACAAGAAACAGAATGTATATAGACTATATATATATATATAGCTTGGTTTCTTGCCATGTATGATCCTTTTGAGGGTACTGATGTGGTTGTTCCTCATCGCCACCGGGAGCCCGAAATCCCTAACTCGCTCCCAAGGTGCCCCAACTGGCGATCCTTGATGCAGCTGCTCACGGAAACTTGCACTTCTTCTGTTTAGGGCCTGGGGCTTCTCGAGCTCTTCCGGGTGTGTCGGCGTATAGGAAAGGAGTTCGGGTTCGGGAGTTGCTGTTGTTGCGCTTATCGGGTTCATACCCGTGTTTGAGATCATGAGGCCAAGTTCAACGTGGTATTTGAAACTAGAAGCCCACAGGTTAGCGCGATTTCGCCAACATAGACATAAATGAAGCAGTGCATTCTCGCTGAAGAGTACAACACATCCTTTTGCACACGGTAGCAACCATAGACGAACTGCAGTATACGCTTGCCGGCTGGGATTGTTCGGGATTCAAGGGGCAACTCCTGCTTAGACCTCACCGTTAAGATGACGCCTTTTGCTTCCATTTTCCATGCTGGGACGCCATAGCCGCAGGCAGCTGGTGTTCCATCATGGACCATCATGGACATGTTTGATCCTTTGTTCTGCTTGCACGTTGGCACCAGCAAAGATAAATCCAATTTAAACCGCAGATCACGCTGTTCTGCAAAAAAGGGTCCCCCATGCACAGTGTATATGGAAGGCCCGCAAGGAAGTAATATATTTTTGTGTTATGCCCTACCTGCTCGTGTGAGTTCCGCTCAAGGCCTTAAAACTTCTCTGTGGGTTTAGTCATGAAGCAGCTCCCTCAAATGCCCCCCTTTAGAGTCTGCAGAAAGCGAAATCCGAAAGGGGTTGGGGCCCTAAACCTTGAACTTGAAGTCCAGCTTACAGTGGTGGTAAGGACATGCTGTCGAGTACAAACTCCTTCCCGGCCAAGCTGGCGCCGCTTGGCATTGCGTCTCAAAAACAAGGCCGTCAAAAGAATCCTAGGAGGAAGCTTCTAAAGCCGTAGCAGCGCCCGTATAGACTAACCTGACTAACCTTGCAAAAACCCTACTGAGCCTTTCCAGAGACCCTAAGCGGAAGCGAAACCGAGATGATCGTAAGCAAGCCCTTAATGGCACATGCACCCTCATCTTCCTGGCCTGGTGGAACACTAACCCGACCTCAGGGTTTATGGCTTAGGCGTTTATAGGTTCCGAAAAGACTAGGTTATGTCTAGACATCCAGCCACTTAAGAGATGGACTTAATCGGCCCGGGCATAACAAGACAATACTGTAGCAACCGCATATCATGGCTAGCATCCCGCATTCGTAGAAGCAGTGATCGTAGTAGGGCTAGTATCCCGCATTCATAGAAGCAGTGATCGTAGTCACAGCAGCAATATGATGATATTGTAACTTAACTTGCTAACGAGTATAAGAGCTATTAACAGCAACAATTAGCTTGGATACTGTTCATTTACAAAATACATGTATGTATATGCCTACATATGTGGTTACATATACACACAGTATGCATCTTATTATGAATAGAGGGTATGAATGCATACGTTCTATTTGTACATGCAAAATACACATACACACATGAACATCAGTATACCCCCCAGTTCGACTCGCTGAGCCCTTGTGAGGTGCACCATCCCCTGACGCCCCATCGGTCGATGCCAAACACCAGTACCCACCGGAGGTGCGAGCCGATTCTGGGTTCCAAGATGTGGGAGTTTCCGAAAATTGGGGGTACCTTGTTTCGGGTCCTTACAATAAGGATCCTACCATTTTGGGTACTATATTAGGGTCCCCTATTTTCGGAAACTCCCATGTTGTAAAAAAAAAAAAACATATTCTAAGTACATGGGTGCGGCAATGTTGGCATAGGGTCTGAGTAAAACCCGCTACTTAGGTAACTGGCCTGCCTTTATAGGGCCGGATAGAGACGTCTGACTGATGAACATCCGCTTCGAGATCCGCTGTGAGCATTCTATAACACATCCCCACGCTCTGTTCTCAGTGTTTAAGACCCTGAACGCTTATCCCTCGTACAACCCTTCCAATGAGCCCTACTTGAAGGATTATGGGACTTAGTGACTAGGGTTATAAATAAGGTAACTATACTTATAACCACTACTAAAGCCCAACTCAGGTACTTATAACCTGACTTACTAAGTCCCATGACCCTCCAAGTATTCCAGTTCTGAAAGCACAGATTTCAGGGTGAGGTTCCCACGGAGCCATATCGGAGTTCGGTGTTGCAGAGAGGAATTTAGGATTCCGGTCAAAGGGTTTCTACAAGGGTGCCCATAGGATGCAGGGTTCGAGGAACATTTGGAGTTTCTGGACCTACGACTTACGATGTAGGCAATGTAGGGTTCGTATAGGTGTTGAGCATCTTGCTGTGAACCGTGGTGGCGCCCCGAGCAGACGCATGCAGTAGCGGGCTGGATGCAGTACGACGGCGTAGGCTTGAAGGAGGGAGCACGGGTTCGCGGCGCTACGGTAATCTAGTACTGCAACTAAAATTGTAGCAGCCGTCGTCGCAGCCGTACCAGGTGTGGTAAGTTAAATGCCAAACCCCAAGGCGCAATTGAGTCTCAGAGTCTAAGGCGAGCTTTCCTGGTGCGTTTCGTCCCCTGGTCTGATGCCGTGGCCGCCACGTGTGACACTGCGGCCTCCGATCTGGTGCCTTGGATGATACGTGGTGGCTTGATTACCCTAAACCCTCAACGGTTCAGTGGTTTAGGGCTTAAGGGATTAGTGTTTAGAGGGACCCTAAACGGTTCCGGGGCCCTCCCAGCTGGTCGTGATGGAAAACAAACCTGGGTTGGAAAAAGGTATGGGGGGGTGTATGGTCCTGGTTTGCGCGTATGGCATCACAGAATCTAGCCTCTTGCCTTAATCGTCAGTGCAGCTTTCATAGCTGCTGTTGTTGGTTACCTTGTTGTCTAGGATAGGTTCCTAACCATACTGTTAGTTATCCACCAGAAATTGACCATGGAGACTATACAATACGTGTGCAGACTTACAAGGTACATAGTTTATCGCTTTAGGGTGCCTAGGATTTTTGATATTTGTGCACAGGTGGACATGAGTTGAGCATGCAGTTGTGTCTAGTTAGGCAACGCAGGCTTTTGTTGCGTTTGGTTCCTATCAGGTGTTTCGCACAACACGCAAGCCCTCCGTGAAATGCACATTCTGCATGATCAGTGCGTTTGTACCAGCTTTTGCAACACCCGTGGTGAGCTACGTCACCGATCAAGGACCATGCAGCACAGTACAAAAATCCACGCACAGCCTGTTGCACTGCTTGCTGCAGCCAATAGGACAATGCAACACACCCCACTGTACTGAGCTAGCCATCTTACATGTACAATCTACAGAACATGAGTGTGCAGATACGAAATATCGACACATGCATCACCAAGATGCAAGCTCAAAATGCGGACATCCATCACAAAGGTGCAAGCTCAAAAGGCGTGTATGTAGCTTCCAGAAAATGTAAGCGCTCATTGCAACTTAGCACGTATTGTTGCTCAGGGGATTGATAGGCCACGGCTCGTCATAGTGCTGTTGCATCACTCCCTAAAGTTGAAGACTGGAATGCTCGACTTGGCCAAAGCTCTTTTTCCATCTATTGATGAGATATCAGCCACCGGAACATAGCCTGAAACGCATCCCGAAGTCCTGAAACCTAGACACAAGCGAAGTCAAGGCGTGGTTGTCCGAGCCCAGCTGCAAATATTGCTGGAGGCTCATTTCACTCAAGACCGTGTCAATGCGGAGAAGGGATCTGGATTTTTGTGTAAATACATAGTGTCGTGCTTAAATGCAGGATAATACTTGTCGGAGCCCTGTAATACAGGGGCCTAATTAACTAGATACATACCACTACTCCCCTTATCATATCGTCATAGCATAAGTATACCCCCCAAGCCCAATCCAATGGATCAAGGCCCCTATATTAGATCTAACGCCCTTCCGTGTTTGCGTAACACTTCCCCTTGAGAATACCGCAACTTCAACGTCAACAAGTCCGGTAAACCTTACACCTAGACTGTTTTATGAGTTTCGGCTTCATGCTTACATGGCACACTTAAGGTGTCTCTTGTAGAGCGACGTCGACAGTGGTGGGGCATGCTTGCAGCACATGGTTCCCTTGTCCTCAAAGTGCCCACAGTCATGTGCTGCATAACCTGTGCTTCGTTCATCAATAACAAGCAAACGATCTCTGGGCATGTTATTACGCAAAGCCCTGACGAATCGGAAACCCTCTATTGCCCTTAAGAATTTACCTGCAGCTCAAACACGACAAGCTTCAAGAATCCACAGCGATCAAGGGGGCACCAGGTGACGGCGCAAGACGTTCCAGTCGAATCCCGAGCCGACACCCGGCGGGAAAAGGCAAAGGCCCCCTCTGCGCTGAAAAAGGTCGAGACTGATCTGGCGGCCCAAAGCACATGGGAGTTTCCGAATATTAGGGGTACCTTCTTTAGGGGTCCTTACAATAAGGATCCTACTATTTAGGTACTATATTAGAGTCCCCTATTTTCGGAAACCCCCACATGCACTGAAGGCATTGACGGATGGCACGAGCACCACCTGCTGTGCTGGTGAAAAGCATCAAGCGAAGACAGCAAAGGCGTAGGCATGGAAGCTGTTTAATGTGTTTCGAACATGTGTTGCTGGTAACAACGTGCAGTAGGAATCGCCCCCAAAAACAAAACCCAGTTGTAATATTAGGGACCTGCTTAGCTCATCTTAATAATTTACTTGACAGAAACTAAGAACAGTAATTAATGCCTAGAAGCCTCAATAATGACCAACAATTTTTTTCCTTATTCCTCCCTCATATAACTATACTATGAAGGGGCCCAGAACCCTATCCCAAGTATGAAGTACGCTGATACATCCCTTGTAGCAGCCCTTATACCGTATACCCCTTTAAAGGAACCCTAGTCTAATTATGAAACCCCCTACATCAATGGGGTTACCACCGAGAGTAGGCCGGCGAATGCGGCCGCTGTGGCTCCCGGCCGCGCCCTGAACCGACTCCTCGTCTGCAGCTCGAAAGAGCTCCCGGGAGGACCATCATAGAGCCTTAGGGTTTAGGGTTTATAAGATGTTTATAAGGATTTCGGGTTCATAAGGGCTTGGGGTTCATAAGGGTTATATAAGGGTTTAGAAGGGTTTATAAGGATTTAGGGTTCATGAGAGCTTAGAGTTTAGGGTTTGTAAGGGTTAAGGGTTTATGAGGGTTTAGGGTTCAAATACTTTCCACTATTATTCCTTGGGGTTCGCTGTTGTTTGTGTTACCCTCCAAAAAAAGTACTTAAGGCTAGGGTTGAGGGCTTCATAGTTCAATCGAGGATCTTACGTGTACAGATGGATGGAGGATGTTACGTAAAGTTGGGGCTCTTAGCGGTCTAAGCGAGTTTGCAAGGTGCCGTGGGTTGTTGAAGGATTTGAACGTATGCTTGTGCGTTTCGATTTTCAACAAAAATGTCCCACGGTTTTAAACAAGAGCCTGTTACGAGTTGACAGGCATTGGATGTGCAGCCGTTTCTGTGTGGTTGTGGCAGGGGCATAGGGCTTACATAAGGTACCCCTGAATCAGCGGTATGCGCAACCTAGCATCTACCAGGTTACCAAAATGTTTGGACCATCTTCTATTGCCACGACTATCCCCAAAGGTGGCACTCTACAAGACAAAGACATCTGGAATCGAGAATGAACCCGTAATCGGAAAGACAAAGGAGTGGATGTGGGAGCTGGTTTTCTGTTTGAAGTTCACGTTGGGGTCCCACAGATTTGGTTGGATGTTCATGGTCCCTCCGTGCTAGACACTCGACTGTACAGCTGCCGCCGCGCCAAAGATACCGACTCCTCAAAAAGAGGTTGTTTGTCCACGGGTTGGCACAACGTGCAGATGCCAGCTATGTTCTGAATCTGAAGGTCTAAATTTTCTGGATGCTCGACGTCTCATCCTAGGTTCCGAGGCAGTGGCATTACATCAACGGTTTCAAGTCCTCATTGACTTGTTCTAACATTCTAACACGCTCTCCAACCATCAGCATTCAGAACTGCTTTTGCCCGTGGTTGGTCTGCTGTGGTCAGAGTGCGAAAAGAAGCCAAGCTCCCCATGCACGATGCTGATGCTAACTTCAGATGCTGTCCCGTACCATGCGCCTTAGGCCCTATCCCCGAATTCTTGCACCCTAACCTCTAAAGACCTACCCACAGGCTCCATTGTAGTTCCTTCTTGGGAGTACCTTATAGACTTCTAAATATGACCCCCCAAAAGGACTTAGTAGCTGAGTGGATACACTTTACACTTTTTGGGATAATACTACCCGCTATAAAACTGAAAGTGTACATTTTTTGGGGGCCTATGAGTTCAGCAACTAAGAGGAATTACTATGGAGCCTCTAAAGACCTAGGCGGAAAAAGGCGAATCCCAAAGCCCTCAACTCTGGAATCGACTCCTGGCCTGACTCCTGGACGTTTGTCAGGGGTGCTCAGAAATACGTTTTAATCTGGGGATATAACCCCTAAGAAGCAGCTAAAATTCAAGCTTTTGCGAGGGATGTAAGTTCAGTGTAGGTGTGTTTTAATCTGGGGTTACTATAATCCCTAAGGAACAGCTGAACGGTTGCTATATTCCCTGAGGAAACTGCTGAAATCACAAACTTTGCGAGGGGTGTAAGTTCAGTCTAGGTTTTTTGCGTTTTAGGCGAGGACCTTCGATTCTGCGCCTTCGTCCCTGAAATTTCGGCTAGGAGTTTGGGCTCAAAGTTTGAGAGGGTTGTATAAGGGTGTCTATAACGGTTTTAGGGTTTAGGATTCAGGGCTCAAAGTTTGAGAGGGTGGTACAAGGGTTTCCATAACGGTTTTAGGGGTTTAAGGTTGAGGGTCCCGAAGGCTTAGACTTAGGATGTGAAGGGCAGAGTTTGGACAGTTTACTGTCGGACTGTTCGTTTGGGGTACTTGCAGTGTTCAAAGGGTTTGAGGTTGACTGCAGGTTTCCCGTGTGAGTTTGTTTAGGGTTCAGTGTTCATGGTTTAGGGTTTAGGGTTTAGGGTTTAGGGTTCAGAGTTCAGGGTAACCTACTGGAGGTGGTCTCAGAAACCGGAGTTTATGCGAACGGTGTCGGCAACTTCCGCGGTTGTACTCGTTCACGCAGCCATCATTTGGCCTCAAGTCCGGTGGACAAAACTTGCTGGCTTGCAGGTTTGGGGCGGCCGTTCCTAGACCCTTGACAATCTGTGAATTCCATTGTGTTTAACATAGAAACATCGGTCATGATGTCGAACTTAGAACATATAGAGTATCTACATAGTTGCATAACATGCGCTTCTTCGCACCTGAAGCTTTTCTAAGCCCTGCGAACGCCGACTCCTCCCAAGCTTCAAGCCCAAAGGCCCACACACGCCGAGACTCCACATCCAAACCTCCAAGAAAGGCCACACAAAGCCGAAAAACCTTATGGTTTATAAGATTCCGGGTTAACGATATCTCCAAACCGAAGCTTCGAGTAGAGACAGGGAAGTAGGTTTCCCGCGAGAGTCGGGCGCCCTTTTTCCGGTGACCCTTGTAGGAAGGATCCGATTATGTCTCTGGTCTGTATCGGTGCCTGAGACAGAAACTCGCAATTGACTCGCTTGTTATATAGCCATGGCCTTTCGCCGGAAATCTTTCTCCAGTGCTCCAGCTGAAAGAGAAGATGGGATCCAGCTATGGGTGCAGGTTTAAGATGACGGGGAAATTCTTGATCCCCCCAAAAGCATCAACAGATATCTTCCACTCCGAATCCTCGCCATCCCATGCACCCTCACACATAGCAAGGTCGGTTTAGGCGTTGGGGTTCATTCCTTAAGGACGAAACGAACCCTAAAAGGGTTTAAGGTTCATATGCCATATACGGATTTATAGTATATGGGTGTAGGGCCCCTACATTTAAGGGACATTTGGTCCTTCAGGTTGTTTCCTCCGAACCCAGTCTTGCATGCAGCGCGATAAAAGCACGAGCCCCTGGTCCTAAATTTTTCCGTTTCTGCGCCCGGCGATGCTCAACACGGGGGCGTCATCTGAGGTCTGTGGAGTCGTTGCAAAACAGTCCAAGACCTTAAGCCCTAAGCCCCTACACCTTATTCCCTCATAGTAATAGCTCATTATGGCATAGACGATTAGGGAATAATAATCAATGGAATAATGATTTATGCCATAATAATTTTCGAAATAATTCCGAACATTATTCTTCCATAAACTATTATTCCATAATGAAGCTACCCTAGGGCCCCAAAGTAGTTCCTGTTTGGGGATCATATTTAGAAGCCTATGAGGTAATCCCAACAAGGAACTACTTTGGGGCCTATGGGTAAACCTATTTCAAGGGCTCCTGTAGTGTCAGGGGCTCTCTGCGTGGGATAAGAATCTATGGAATAACAACTTATGGAATAAAGATTAACGGAATAATTCCGAACATTACTATTTTTCCAGAAGCTATTATTCCATTTAATGAAGCTGAAGCCCAAGATCCTCTAACCACATGGTTTTCAACTTCGAAGTTCTCAGAGGTCGGCTTCTCCTTGTGGGCTGCTGCCTTCTCCCTTCCTCCCAGGCAGCCCGATAGGAGGGTAGGATCGTGCTGCTGGACTTTCGGCTGCTTTTGACAGATGCTAAATATAGGGGCCTTAATAAACAGAATAGGGTTTGGGGGCATAGTTATGACAGGGAACCGTTATTACCGGGTATAGGGCTCACCACGGATATGCAGTCGCGGTCGTACTGCAAAGCGTCGACGGCTTCGATACAAGTAGAGCATGTACAAGCATGTGTAATTATATGTACACATACATATACATACATACACACGCGGGTATATCTATACATACACACATACATACATACATACATGGCAAATAAAGAGATGGATAATTACGTGCAGTTATAGGCAACTAGATAATTCGTAGGTGGGTAGATACTTCGACTTAGACAGATAAACAGATAAATCAACGATGGGTATCTGGATTGGATTTTCGGTTGACGGTCGGGAGGGGGGGGGGGCAAGGTATGGCGGTCCTTTTTCTTCCTATGCCGAAGCCACGAACTCCACGCCCAAGTCTTAGCTTTGCGGTAGTTCTCCATACTGCCAGTTGCAGCTATAGCGTGCTATGCCGCAAACTATGGAGACTGATCTCAGAATGCAAATAGCCGACGAACCAAAACACCTCTCTATGTACATGTATATATATATATATATGTGGCTGTACACATGTAGAGAGACAGATAGAGTGATCCATCGGTAGTTAGATAGATGGCTAAATGGTTAGCTAGATAGCTTGTTAGACCGATAGATAGATAGATAGATAGATAGAGCGAATGTGCTTCTTGACGGTTCAAGGTGAAATTCGTGCAGAGGGCGGAGCACGTGAGGGGAGGGATGAGACGGGACAGTGCGCAAGGTGCTTGCGATTTGGGCGTTTGCCGGTTGAAGGTTTTCGGAGGTTTCCATAGCTTTGCAGTTTTGCGGTTTGACGGTGCAGTGTAGAGCTTAATGTAGCGAGCCTGCACCCAACCCCCCAGAGACTCCAATATCCCTTCATTAAGGAATATACCTTAAACCATATAAGGGCTCCTACCATAATTTAAGGAGTATTCCTTAATTAAGGGATATTGGCTATTGGAGTCTCTGGGCCGAGTTGCCAGGGCCTGTGGATAGACAACTTCGATGTCCTGATGGCTCCAGTCCAGGAGCGGGCGTACTTCGGTCTGTGGCTGTAGAATGCTGCAGCATTCTCCGCCGGTTTTGCACTGGCGGTTTAGGGTTTAGGGATATTGAAATGTTTGAGAGCCCAGCTTGCCGGCATACAACCAAAGCCTGTGCTCAAAAAAGGTATATTGAAACGTCGTGTTCTCTGGTTGAAACTTACGGTTCAGCGTTGAGGCTGACACAGAGAGGCGAGGTGATGACTCGCATTGCCAGCAGGAGCTCATCGATGCCCACAGCCACTGCGGATGGGCGAACCCGAACCTCGGTTTCTGATCCTCTCTGATGCTAGCGGCGATTGTCTTTTTAACATGTGGAGGAACCCTGA